AGTGCCAACGTTACTAAAAGGTAAGTTTTATAAAGCAGTGGTTAGGCCTGCCATGTTGTATGGAACCGAGTGTTGGTCGGTTAAGAACTCACACATCCAGAAGATGAAAGTAGCAGAGATGAGGAGGTTGAGGTGGATGTGCGGGCATACAAGGATGGATAAGATTAGGAATGAAGATATTCGAGAGAAGGTGGGTGTGGCCCCCATGGAGGACAAGATGCGGGAAGCAAGACTNCTCAGATGGTTTGGGCACATTCAGAGGAGGAGCACTGAGGCACCGGTGAGGAGGTGTGAACGACTGGCTGTGGTCGGCACGAGGAGAGTTAGAGGTAGACCTAAGAAATATTGGGGAGAGGTGATCAGGCAGGATATGACGCGACTTAGGATTACTGAGGACATGGCCCTTGACAGGGAATTGTGGAGGTCGAGCATTAAGGTTGTAGGCTAGGGGGAAGGTGTGAGTATTTCTACAGCGCACTAAAGTGAGACTAACCAGTTAGGAGTTAGTCTTAGGATGCTACTGGTCAATTAGTGATGTAGGGCTTTATCTGCTGAATATTATTATATCTTCCATTTTTTCGTACTTCCTATATTTTTTATACTGTTGTTATTTTTATTTTATGTTATGGTATGTTATTTTATTTTGTTTTATGTTATTTTATTATGAATCTATGGATAGTACTAATATATCGTCTCTTGTCGCTTTCTTGAGCCGAGGGTCTCCTGGAAACAGCCTCTTTGCCCCTCGGGGTAGGGGTAAGGTCTGCATACCTATTACTCTCCCCAGACCCCACTAGTGGGATTATACTGGGTTGTTGTTGTTGGTGGTGTTGGTGTTAAGATAATAGTACACTTTTCTGTGTAGATAGCTGGATAGACTTTTTAGAAGCTCAAGGCAAGTACTGGAAGCAATGCAACTTTTGGCACCAACTTGGTTCTTTCAATAAAATGACATGTTTGAATAATCAAAAGAAGTGCAAGGCATGGAATACCTATGTGGAACAGTGATTTAAGGATCGGCAAATTAGATAAATCTTGAGAACTTGGTAATGTGGAAGGAAATCAGAAACACCAAAACATCAATTAAACTTTGTCCACCAACTTCTATCAAACAAGTACATTTTCTCCTGAATAGCTACTGGAAAAGGGAAGACAGAATACGTCCCTATAAATACTTTTCATAAAAATATTCCTAATTTATCATATGCATTCTTTTTTTTAACGAAACAAGGCCAAATATACCCTCTACTTTTAAATATTGTTTAAATTTACCCTTTGTTTCATTATCTGGCTGTCTGATCCCCTATCGTTATACTATGGATCAGATTTAACCTTATTTTTTAAGGAGGGCCACGTGGCAGCTCCTTACTATAAGACATCCTCAATTTAATCTACCCAGATTCATACTAACCCGCCCGTAACCTGACCCAAATCCTTATTAAGAAACCCACCCCTTATGGACTCTTCTCCTTTCCCTTGTTTTCGCCGCCCTTTTGAAGTGAACGCCGCTGCCGCTCGTCCCATTCTGGCACCACCGCATCCAGTTGCTTCAGTTTACTGTTGTGACTGGTTTAGGTTTGAAATTAAAACATGGTGTTCGTGAAATCTGAGCTTGGGTGTGTAACGAAGCTCGAAAATTACTAATTGAAGAAAGAAGAAGTTTCAAAATGAAAAAAAATCTTTATGCTCCAAAATCGTGGTTACCCATTGCTTGAAGGTGGCAGGTTTGAAAAACAAAAACTCCATTAAAGAAGTTGGAGCTTCGAACTTGAATTTCGGGTTTTCGAAATAGTTGTTTTGTTTGGATTGGGTATTCTAAAATATTGGGTATATTCTACGGAGCTCAAATATCATATTTGAGGAAGTTTGGAGGAGTTTTAGGATGGATCTGTCTGAATTTTCAAAGATGGTTCATGAAGAACCACGAAGGACATTGTTGAGAATTTTTGGGTTTGAGGATTTTCGGGTCTGTTGGTTACTGAATGTTGGACCTAAAATTTTCAAAGCACTGAATGTTTGTTAAAGAAATTCAGCTGGGTATCATTGTATTAAGTGGATTCAAGCTTAACTTCATAGTAGAAAATGTTGCTGGTGCTTGGTTCGAAAGTTTTGGGTTCACAGAACTTTGCTGCTAAGATTAGCTTTGGATTACTATATTGGAGCTTACCACTTTATCAAAAACATTGATTCAATATTGCATCGGAAGATTGAACTAAATCACTGCTCCTTTTGGTCCCCAATTCTTGAATTTACATAGGTCTCAATCTTGTGCGCAACTCATGCCAAGAACCAGAACAATTAGAAGGGCTTATAGCACAAGTGCCAGCTTAGATTCATTTCTAGATGAATAGTTCTCTTGTTGGGGGTTGGTCGGGTTCCGGACGGGTTAGTATGGATCCAGGTAGATTAAATTGGGGGTGGATCTTTTACGCTGCCATGTGCCCCTCCGTCAAAAATAAGAGCAAATTTGATCCATAGTATATCCTATAACACTAGGGGCTCAGACAACGAGATAGTGAAACGGAGGGTAGGTTTAAACAATATTTGGAAGTAGAGGGGTATATTTGGCCTTTTTTCATTTTTTAATGATAGTGGGGTCCGAACCAGCTTTGCGCACCTTGACTATTCCACCAGATATGGTACCTCCCTAATTTATCATATACATATACACACGTGTATACATACGTATATACACACACACACAAATACATATATGTATTTACGCATGTATGTATATCCCCAAAAATTCAAAATTTTGAGGCCCGATTTCCCTTTTACTAATAGAAAGTAAAACAGACAAGGATGTGTAAGAAGATAAAACTCTCACCTTATTATAACAGGAAAATTATACCAACGGAAGTATGTATAATGGCAGCTCATAGGGGAAAAAGACATATCGAGTTCTCATTTTAAATATTACCCCAACTTTTATGCAGAAAAATAATAGACTAACTAGTTTTGAGAAAAAGAGGCTATGCTTAATCTCATAGGAAAAAGGGTAAATTCAAAGACAATTCATGAACCAACCAAAAACATATGAAAAAGCATTATTGAAGAACAAATATTCAGGAAAAGCAAAATCATCAGGGGCATGACTTAAAAGCATATAGGAATCTATCAAGAAAACCAGAAGCGTAGTCTTACAGTTGGATAAAAACAAAAGATGCTGCAGCCAAAACATATATATTAAAACTGATACCAGTTGTTCTTGTAACCGAAGATGCTTCTCAGCTTCCTCTTTCTGTTCCTTTTTCTGCTTCCGCTCCATATTTACAGTCTTCTTTTTCTGGTAAGCCAATGCCTTCTTCTCCTCAGCTCTTGCCTTTTCTTCTTCCAATTCTTCATACCGTCTCTTAAACTCTTCAGATCCAGATATTTGCTCAAGAAGATTAGTAAGTTCTCTTGGATTTTTAGAGGCAACTGACTCGACATCGCCCTGCATCAAAAGTCATCATGAGAAGAGACGTCTATTTACATACAAGGTAGAAACTGACTTTTTCTTTAACTAAATCCAGAAAAAAATAAGCATTTTAAATTGAAAGATCCTAATCTTTTATTTTCAAAATAATATTCCTTTAGCAACTAGTAAGCCTAAAAATAGTTGCTGGGAAACTTAGACGAGCCATAAAACATGCTTCTTAAATTATATAAATACTTTAGAGGTATAATGTTGCTTGTTCTTCTATGTGCTAATCCATGTCATTCTGAGTATCCTCTCGATAACCATTGCAGTTTATACTCGGAAATGGATGGTTTCTGAAAAATTCCTTTTATTACGGAAATTAATTTACTAAAAAAGCATCCAAACCCCAAAGAGGACGTAAGCAACACACAATTAAATATTCAACACCCCTTAAGAAACACAGAACACAAAGAAGTAACCCCATCAGGGTCATATTGAATTCCAGTCCATAAAATATACACAAAATTCCCGTAATATTTCAATTGTTAATAACAGTGGTGCCCGCCCCCGCCAGCTTGCGGGCACCTGAATATTCTACTGAATAACTACCTCCCACAACCTCCCACAACCACGGGTAGTGGATAACTATGCTCATCCACGGTTTTCAATCACTTAATTGACAACTAACTCACACCCTTGGGTGCAATTGCACTATTAACCACTCATTCGGTCCCATTGTATATGACACTCTTTCCTTTTAGTTTGTCCCAAAAAGAATGACATCTTCCTATATTTATAAACAATTCAACTTTAAACTTACTATTTTACTCTTAATGAGATGATTTATAGCCACACAAATACATATTGTTTGTTTAGACCACAAATTTCAAAGTCTTTCTTTCTTAAATTATGTGCCCACTCAAATACCATCATATAAAATTGGACGGCGGGAATAATATTTCTTATCTTTCTCTTTCCCCAGTTTGTTCTAAACTGCAAGCAGGACTGACAGAACTTTTCATAAACCATACAAACGGCTACTTGCTGATATTTCAATATCATATCTGCAGCATTAATTCATAAAACCATTTCAACTACTATGCCTTAAACTACTTGGCGTCATCTATATGAATATTCCGCTCTAATTGTGCTCGTTCCATTCCAATAGGTAATAAATTTGACTTTTAACACTAATTACATGTAATATAAATAACCCGCACAAGAAAAATGAAACGAAAATGCAAGGGGAACCTGAAAGACGAGAAAATTCCGTGCTTTGACGAGAATATCAAGGGACTTCAATTTGGCATTATACTCGTCCCAGTTGACAACTTTACCATCAATCCGATACTCACTACCACCAGCACCAGTAATAGTTCGAGTAAACTGAATTTCAGTACCAGTAGCAAGCTGATAAACTAGCCTCACGAAAGCTCTTCGACCTCTCTGCTCTTTTTCACGGTCATCGAAGGCATAAATAAGGTCCTTCAACTGTGCACCACGGAGCTGACCAGTGCGAACGCCGAGGACGAAACTGATAGCGTCCATTAGGTTGGATTTTCCGGCTCCATTTGGGCCTATAATTGCTGTGAAGTCGTAAAATGGACCGATTGTTTGAAAGCCTTTGTAGGATTTGAAGTTTTCTAGTTCTAGCCGGTGGATTTTCCCCGGCGACGGTTGGGATGGCATTATTATAGTAGAAATTGCTCCGGTGAAAAACCCTAGGTCTCTGCGGGGAGAATAATGTTATACAACTAGAAAATTAGGGTTTAAAATGTTGCCGGGAAATATCTTAGGGAGGGAAGATTCGGGTTTCTATATAATCTAGCGTATGAAATCATACTAGCTTATTGTAAGTACCCTATTGCTTAAGCGATTATACTTACCAGCTATGGTACAAGAAGAAAATGAAGAGGAAATTTGAAAATGTGTATTGAAACTGAGCTGGAAGTGGAGCCTACGTGGTAGTTGAGTACTACAACAACAACACCCCGCTAAAATCTTACCGGTGGGGTCTGGGGTAATATATACGTAGACCTTACCCCTATCCGAAGGGATAGAGAAGCTTTTTCCGAAAGACCCTCGGCTCAAGAAGAATAAAAGACAAAAGGAAACAGTATTAATATTATCACAGAAATCATAAGAAAATATAAGAAAAACAGGAATAACATAAAATCCAGAAGAAAGCTGCAAAACAAAAACGATAACTAGTAAATAGGTCCAGCACTAAAAAAAAATAGAAAGACACGGCATTGCCACCCGTTACCTAGACAAAACCCTACAAGATTACTCTAGCAACGGAACAAACTAATGCAAGACCCAACTACCTCCTAACCTACAACCCTAATACTCGACCTTCACATCTTCCTATCAAGTGTTATGTCCTCGAAAATCTGAAGCCTCGCTATGTCCTGCCTGATCACCTCTCCCTAATACTTCTTAGGCCGTCCTCTACCTCTTCTCATGCCCTCCACAACTAGCCGCTCACACCTTCTTACCGGAGCATCTTGGTTTCTCCTCTGTATATGCCCGAACCATCTGAGCCACGCTTCCTGCATCTTGTCATCATGGGAGTCACGCGCACCTTCTCCCGAATATCATCATTCCTAATCTTGTCCATCCTAGTGTGCCCGCACATCCACCTCAACATCCTCATTTCAGCTACTTTCATCTTCTAGATATGTGAGTTTCAGACCAACACTCAGCCCTGTACATCATGGTCAGTCTAACTACCGCTTTATAAAGCTTACCTTTGAGTATCGGTGACACTCGTTTGTTACAAGAATGTGAATTTTATATTCTTTGTACAAATAAATATATCCATTACATTACTACTATTATAGAAGTGGCTAAGAGAGAGCTTCGGTAATTCAGGGTATTTTGGTAAAAATGATGCTCAGCTGAGCTTTTAGTTAAGCAATATGCTTAAGGGTGGTGTATGGTGCATAATAATGTTGTACTCTTTACTGAGTTAATAGAAATATCAAGATTTTCTCCGTGATATCTTTTCGTAAATCGTGTAGGGTCTGATAGTATGACTATGTTTAAGAAAGAAGTTCTTGTTTCTTATATTATTATTTGTTATAATATAAAGACTTTAAAGTAAAGAAATCAAAGATAAGTATGGAGAGAGATTTATTATTCAACTTCAAATTCATGTACATAATGAATTGAAACCTCCTTTATTTATAGAAGAAAGGAAGCTGCTGTGAAGCTGCTACTGCAAGATGTTGTGTAAGCTGCCGTGTAAGCTGCTACTGCAAGTTGTTGTGTAAGTTGCTTGTAAGCTGCTACTGCAAGCTGCTGTGTAAGTTGTTATTGTACCCGATATAGATAATCTTTTACCGGGGGTAATATTTATCCATAACGGAGTACCGAAATGATAAGCTTCTTCAGCCTATTTCCAATAGAGTACTAAACAGATAACCATATTTACGGCGGAGTGCCATATGAATAAACTTTTTCAGGAAGCTTATTTACAACGGAGTACTAAATGAACATCCATAATATAATATATATTTATAACATTATTATTATTATTATTATTATTGTACAACATATTAAATAAAATTGTGACACATGGGACCCACAGTGCCAACTCCAACTGCTACCCCATCATTGAATAGCATTTACTCCTCATTGAAGTTGACTCCCTTTTACAAATCAGGAAAATGATTCACCTTTTGTAGTCATGATTTTTAGTTGTGCATATAATGGGACAAGATATACTCATAAAATTGTGAAAGGAGTAAAATAATTGCAGAATTATATTTTTTTACATAAGAAAAATTAATACGTAATGAGTACATCTAAAAAATATTTAAATAGGTAAAACTTTACTTTAGAGTCAACATCTCTACTTAAGCTGGTTGCTTAAAAGTTGTCTTACTCATCTGTAAAAAGATTTCAAAGTTAGACCTATGTCTTAACTACATTCTTAAAGTCAGTATTGCCGGTCTTGCCTGTGGTTAATTTGGAAAACAAATACAGGTTAATAAACTCATAAAGCATATGAACTACAAACTTTACATCTTTGACTTTGAAGAGCAAAGTAAAACTTTGCTTTTATCTTTGTTCAAGATACAAATAACATTTAATGTAGAAAGAAGTTTTTGGTACTATAAATGTTGAACCACTTTTTTCATGATTTTGCGGAGTGTTGAAAAACAGATTTCTAACGTTTTCCCACTTTCTTTCTAATGATATTGAAAAGGTTTGTAATTTTTTTTTTAAAGGGCGGATAGGTTTTTAAGTTTTGATATTGAAAAAATCATGAAATTATTATTATTACCCAAAATTAATGTTTGTTATATCATGTATTACACTATGTTAACTTATGAATACATAGAAATCAAATTAAAATTTAAAATTTAAAATAACAAGCTAACATTTAGAAAGGTAATAATTAAGTTTGGTAACGAGAGAATAACTTTTGAACTTATATACAAATGTCATAAAGATACCTTTCTCAAAAAGAAACTAAAAATATAGCAAAATAGACATTATCTTGAGTTTTCTAATGATCATAATCAAAAATTTAAAATTATTAATCATATCTAAATTTGCAAAGACAGAGTCAACCATCTGAAATTGGGTCAGTGCGCAGCACGGGCTAACCATCACTAGTATAGAATAGAATATCAATTGAACAAAAAAAAAAAGAATAAAATATCAAAAAATAACTGCCGATTTTCTATCATTTTCTTTTTTGTTCACTATTGAGATTTGAGTCTTCCTAGAGAAATATGTTTATGTTCCAAAAGTTGTAAAATTGAATATCTCAAACAAGGGCATTCGTAGTTCGGTTTGTTTAGTTTCCATCAAAGTGTTAATCAAATTAACTATGTTCCGTTTTCTCCGTTGAATTATTACTACTACTATTACAGTAGCGGCTAAGAGAGGAGCTTAGGGTCCAAGTGAATTGACAAAAATACCCTTTGAGTTTCTATGCTTAATTTTGGATTATATTTGATGGGTTTTCAAATGTCTTAGCCTTATGTTTTGATGATCTAACAAACTTACTGTTAAGAACCAGATAGGGAACCTGACACACTTGGTATACATTGTTAATCAACAGACTCCAACTAATGAGAACTGCTGCAACCTTAGAAGATAGAGAACCAACACAGGGACCTGATCCCTTATGTTTCCCTGACAGCAGTACGCAAGTCAATTGTGTACAGCTGGAAAGTGACTGCCACAGAAACAGTGCATACGGTGCAGCACAGTTCTGCGGTCACTTGTCCTTTGACCAACCAAGTGCTTACATCATTCAAGTGGTGTCATTCAAGGTGTATCAAGAAGAGTATTACAACAAAATATTACTTGAACACTTGAGAATTCACTTCAAGCATTCAAGCCTTCTAAGACAGCGAATTCAATTCTCAAGTGCCTTAAGAACAAAGTTTAATGCTACTGCGGACCAGTTCCTAAATCTAGTATTTTGTTGTCATTAGTTGAGTTGTAACTTTGTAATTGTTCTTCATTGTAATTCCTAAATTGCTTAGCTAGAAGCGTTGCTTAGGAACCCCTTTGTAAAACCATAAACCCCTTTGTGTTTGTGTCGTGACTAGAGTTAGTCATGAGTTGAAATCTTTGTAATAAGTGTATTGCAAAGTGGTCTGTAATAGGTGTATTACGAGTTAGTGAGGAATTAAGAGTTTAATTCCTAGATTGCATAAGTTGTAATCTAAAAGTTGCTCATAGTGAAGTTGAAATCCTACCAGTGTAGGTCGTGATTTTTTATCCCCCTTGAGCAGGGATTTTTCCACGTAAAACTCACTGTCTTATTTACTTACTGTTTTATTAGTATTTTCAGTGGGAACTCATAAAGGACATGGTACTCTATAGTTTGATGGACTCATATAAACTATCAATTGGTATCAGAGCGGGTTCCTCCTATCAGGCTAACACCTAGGACGAATCCTTATGGCTGCTCCACCAAATTTTGAAGAAGATCAATCTACGTATAGACCACCCAGTTTCAATGGGCAATACTATGGGTGGTGGAAGACAAGAATGCATGATTTTATCATGAATGAAGATTCTGAGTTGTGGGGTGTCATATGTGATGGTCCTTATATCCTAACGAAGAACATCGGAGATCTTCCATTAACGATGCTAAAGACTAGAAAAGAATATACTGTCATAGATAGGAAAGCTGTGGAGAAAACTTTTCGTACCAAGAAAATTTTGGTGTGTGGAAAAGGACATGATGAATACAATAAGATCTCTGCTTGAGAAACTGCCAAGGAGATATGGGAAGCTTTGCAAACAACACATGAGGGAACCACTCAAGTAAAGCAATCTAAGATTGATATGCTCACTATCGAGTATGAACTCTTTAGGATGAAGGACAATGAATCTATTCAAGATTTACTTCCATCATAAATGAGTTACACTCACTTGTCTAAGATATGCACAGTTACTAATCTGGTAACTGATGAAGTGGTGCTTGTGGCCAAGAGATACAAGAATATTTATGATGCTGATTTTGAGTCTATACAAAGTGATGATCTGAGTTGCCTGAAAGTTGTTGATGATGATGCTGAACTCTGGCACAGAAGACTGGCACGCAAGCTTCTCTCTTTTGAATAAACTAATTCAGAAGGACTTGGTCTGTGGTCTGCCCATGTCAAAGTTCAAAGAACAGAAAGTGTGTGATGTCTGTACTAGAGGGAAGCATGTGAGGTCCTCATTTAAGTCTAAAAATGATGTCAGCACCTCAAAGCCACTTGATCTTCTTCATATGGATCTGTGTGGCCCTATGAGAGTGCAAAATAGAGGAGGAAAAAGATACATCTTTATGATAGTGGATGACTACTCCAGATTCACATGGACTTTGTTTCTTAGAACAAAATATGAAACCTTTGAGGTATTCGTGGCCTTTGTGAAGA